AGTGGGCAAAAGGCAGCAGGGGTCGATCTTGATGTATTTGGATAACAGGCATCACAAGGCAGTTACCGATGATCTCCAGTGGATGTGAGACAGGATGGCAGACAGACAAGCAGGACATACCATGACAGTAGATCTCCCAGCAGGAGGAACAAGCAGCAGATCTACTAACAATATAATCTCTGGTTTCACTTCATGCTGTTGGTTCTGCTATAATGCAATAGTTGTGTTCCTGGGCAACATCGTATTATGTAAATAATGGGGCCTATGGGAAAAGCGGGGTTAGGGGCAGACCACCAAAAAAAATCACTCAAAATCGCTCAAAAATCAGTCAAAAGTCTAACACAAAGGATAGCACAATTTAAATAAATGTTAGTTCATAGCTAATAATGAAATAGAAGTAAATTTAACACTTTACCTTGAAAAAAATGTCAAGGTGACTTGACGGGGGAGGAGGTTGTACTGTACCTCTCACAGAAAGTACTGCACATGAAAGCCCGTGAAATGATCACGTTGCCAGTGCGGAGACTCTTTCGGGGCTAACATTGTACGTATTCACGACAAAGCCCGTGAAACAATCGTGTGATGTCGACACGTACTCCTCTGTGTACCGAGGGAATCATGTTATAGCCAACACAAGTTCGCATTTTAGAAACAGCGTTCCCCTATTCATCAATTGCGTTACAGCCAATTCACATTGTCAGAACATGAGGTATAGGAGAACAGACTGTACTTAAATGTCTGTTCTGATTCTAAATTCTACTGCACTTCATTTAGCTTATAGAATTGAAGGAGGCTATTCTGCCCATCATGTTTGTGGATAACTCATTCAAAGCCAGCAATCAGCCCTGCACTTCAATCAGCCAGATGAGCTAACTAGACTACAGACATCTACAGGGACCTGCCTGTCCATGGCATGCTACAGTGCTCAAGGAAAGCTCAATGCACGCTCAAAGAACAACATTTATCACTCCACAGCCTTCTGGACTCAACAACAACTTTAGATAATAACCTTTGCCTCCATCTTATTAAAGGTATTTTTATTCTTTGCCATTTTTGATTTGTTATTTTTGTACTTTGTCTCGGTTCTTCCTTTATCCCTTTATGTTGCATTAACCGTTTTTATGCAGCTAATCACATCTCTCTTCAGTTCTGACAAAAGGTCATTAACAGACAAACAAGGAACAAGCATAGGCCACCTGGCTGTCTGAGCCTGTTCCCTCATTCAATAAGAACATGGCTGATCAGATCTTAACCTCAACTCTATACTCCCGCATATCCCTGACAATCTTTCATCTGCTTGGTAATAGAGAATCTATCATCTCTGCCTGCAAAATAGAACATAGAACATAGAACATTACAGTGCAGTACAGGCCCTTCGGCCCTCGATGTTGCGCCGACCTGTGAAACCAATCTGAAGCCCATCCAACCTAAACTATCCTATTATCATCCATATGTTTATCCAATGACCATTTAAATGCCCTTAAAGTTGGCGAGTCTACTACTTTTGCAGGCAGGGCATTCCACGCCCTTACTGCTCTCTGAGTAAAGAACCTACCTCTGACATCTGTCCTATATCTATCACCCTCAATTTAAAGCTATGTCCCCTCGTGCTAGCCATCACTATCTGAGGAAAAAGGCTCCCACTGTCCACCCTATCTAATCCTCTGATCATCTTGTATGTCTCTATTAAGTCACCTCTTAACCTTCTTCTCTCTAACGAAAACAGCCTCAAGTCCCTCAGCCTTTCCTCATAAGACCTTCCCTCCATACCAGGCAACATCCTGGTAAATCTCCTCTGCACCCTTTCCAATGCTTCCACATCCTTCCTATAATGCGGTGACCAGAACTGTACACAATACTCCAAGTGCGGCCGCACCAGAGTTTTGTACAGCTGCAACATGACCTCATGGCTCCGAAACTCAATCCTTCTACCAATAAAGCCTAACACACCGTACGCCTTCTTAACAACGCTATCAACCTGGGTGGCAACTTTCAGTGATCTATGCACATGGACACCGAGACCTCTTTGCTCATCCACACTACCAAGAATCTTACCATTAGCCCAGTACTCTGTATTCCTGTTACTCCTTCCAAAGTGAATCACCTCACACTTTTCAGCATTAAACTCCATTTGCCACCTCTCAGCCCAGCTCTGCAGCTTATCTATGTCCCTCTGTAATCTGCAACATCCTTCCGCACTATCCACAACTCCACTGACTTTGGCGTCATCCGCAAATTTACTAACCCATCCTTCTACGCCCTCATCCAGGTCATTTATAAAAATGACAAACAGCAGTGGCCCCAAAACAGATCCTTGAGGTACACCACTAGTAACTGAACTCCAGGATGAACATTTCCCATCAACCACCACCCTCTGTCTTCTTACAGCTAGCCAATTTCTGATCCAAACTGCTAAATCACCCTCAATCCCATGCCTCTGTATTTTCTGCAATAGCCTACCATGGGGAACCTTATCAAACGCTTTACTGAAATCCATATACACCACATCAACTGCTTTACCCTCATCCACCTGTTTGGTCACCTTCTCAAAGAACTCAATAAGGTTTGAGGCATGACCTACCCTTCACAAAACCGTGTTGACTATCCCTAATCAAATTATTCCTTTCTAGATGATTATAAATCCT